ATATATATATATATATCACAATTGAATATTCTCAAGTTGTCAAATAGATGCTTACGAGTTCATAGGCATACACAAATGCATGTCAATGGCCAAGTTAGAAAAATGACGTTGATAGTCAACTTTTCTAGAAGTCCTACTTGGCAAACAAAATTATAAAAGTTTGGATCATTCCACCCATTTAAATTTTCAATTATACATTTTTACAATTAAAAATTCTTAGAACACATCACAATATTTTTTTTATTATAATTAAAAGTTCTAAAAAAATATCACATTTCAATTTGAATTAAAAACTCAAATTTGCGAGGCGAGTAAGGCCAAATAATTTTTTTGACGCTTTCACCCTTATTATTTTTAACAAATTAGTTGATGACAATTGAATATTATCAAATTGTTGTTGTATATCGAAAAGCCTCCATCCACGTCAACTTATTGTGCGTGTTTGGAACTGTTTTTGAAAATGACTTTCACGTAATTCGAGAAGTAAAAAATGAAAATGAAAATAAAACGACGTTTGTTTAACAAATGTTTTGAAAACGAAAATAGTGAGAACAATTTTTGTGAAGGAATTAGAAAACAATTGAAAGTTATTTTCCATTTTTTATTTTCATTTTCTAGTATTTATCAATAATATTATAATACATTAATTCATAATTATAACTAAACATGATATTACTTTTTTATTATACTCAAAACAATATCTTAAAAAACCAACCAAATAAAATTTCAGAATCGGTCCCAAAATAATTTTTAAAACAATCTCATTTTTATTTTTTATTAAAGACAAAATCATTTTTAAACCAATTCTAAATGCACCTATCGTTTTCACGTTTTACAACAACTATTATGTAAACTTTTTAATCTAACCAATCACGTTATAGTATGTCATTTAAAGATTCAAATATTAAAACACGAAAATTAAAAACGGTTGAAAATATTTTATTAAATATTTTAAATGTCATGATATAATATTGTTCGTTATACAATATTTTAAACACTGTTTGGTAGGGTGAAAAAGAGAGAGGAAAGAAAATAGATGATGGATTTTGTAGAGGAAAATAGAATTTTAGATTGTTTAGTAGGAAAAAAATGAGGAATGAAGGAAAATAAAAATTCATAGGACCTACCAATTTTTAATCCTTCTAACTTTGAGAAGAAAAGATGAGTGAAAAAGTTTGACAAAAAAATGAGATGTAAAATAATAATTTTAACGTTCACTATTCATCATATTTTTATTTATATTAATGTATTATTATCAAGTTCATTATTTTTGTTAAAAGGCCAAGTAATAGAATTGGTCTCAACCATAACTAATTAATTGTCTCCCATAAATGGACCTCTTTTGGTTTATTTTCTGTGAGATCTTTTTTAGTATCAATTTGTCGAGTTTAGTCTTTGATAATTATTTTATATGACAACATGAGAATGACCTTGATAGTTTAGAAAGAATTTTAAAATATCATATTCGATTGATTTCTTCGTGTTTTTTTTATTATTGTTCAAAAACAGTTTTCTCAAACACACATTCACCCTCAACTTATCAAATTTATTTTTGGATTATGCCCAAATTCTTAGGAGGAGTAGCTTAACATTGAAATTAGCTAAATAATCATTCAATAAATTATATCATTACAAATGAATGGCAAAAGTAACATATATAATGTGTTTGAGGCTTCCTCGCCTGGTATATGCGGGAGGTTGCGTTTGCAAGTGTGAAAGATCATAAATGTGAACTTGATATATATGTGCGAGTCTCGTCTGAAAGTGTGTATGTAGAAGAAGAAAGAAGGAATTTTTTTTTTTTTTTGAGGGGTTTATTTCTAGAATTCACAGGAATTAAAAATTTATTCATGGTAATTATTAAGAGACCAAATTACCCCTTTTATTTTAAAACGGGCTCAATTGAATAGTAGCTGCTTGGGTTCCACTTTTTAGAGCGTTCAACAAAGCTCTGAATTAGAATTATTCTAGTATTATATATGTTAATTTAACTCCTGTTTATTTCACTAATTTAATTCCATTCAATTTAATTTGAACAGTAAACACAGTTAAACTCATATTTAATAAATATGCAGTCTGAATTATATTCTCTATTTAAACTGAGTTAAAATATTAAAGCTCATTTGTTTGTTGCGTTAAAAATCATATTTTTTTATTTTGCTACATTATTTTTCTCACAAAAAAATTTAAATTTCAAATGCCAAAATCAAGAATCACTGGTTTAAACGCATAAATTAAATAGACTCTTAGAGTTTAGTTTCCTCCTTAAGTTCAACCATTCAAACTATTTTTAAATAGTAAACAGGTGTTCACTATTTATGCTTTTCACACCTATCAAATACAAATTCAAATTTTATTCCATATTCAAATTAAAATTATAATTGCACATCCAAGTGCCAATTCGAACTATAATTTAAATCACACAGTTTGAATTTTTATGTTCAAATCAATAAAATTCAAACCAGCAAACCAAAAGAGGCTTAGTTTTAGATCCTAATAGAAACTAATGGGGAATTAACACCAATGTTTTATGAGATATTTAAGCAATATACCATAGTTTTTAAGGTTGGTTTGACTTTTACCGTAGATATTAAAATTATTATAAAATATACCACATTGACATCATTTAAATTTTATGTACTGAATAAAATTATACTTGTGCTTTTGTGCATTTCATTGAATTTTGTAAGAATTTTGTGGTCTTTCATGTATATATTTGTGATTTTTTATGGATTTTATGATTTTTAAGTATTTTAAGCCCGTCCAAAAGTTACTTCTACCGCAAATCTTCCCCCTTATCAATAACAAGAAAGGATTGAGGCCGTGATGGATCAAATGTCATCAAGTTTTGAAGACGACTCTCAGTATGCCGAAGTACGCTTGACCTTTTGTATTAGGAACTGCAGTATATGTTCGCATTTCCAGTTGTCGATCCTGCAACAGGCCATTAAGTTTTTCTTCGATGAGTTTTGATAGAAATAGGGTTCAAACTCACTAACCATAACAAATGTAAAACATAATCTAATGGATATGACCAAAAAAATAATTGAAAACTAACACTAGGCGTAAAAAGATGGACCACAGGCTATGTACTATATTGTTATCATGTTTTATCTCTAGGTAATGTTTGCTTGGCTTCTAGAAGAGGCTTTCCTTCTCATTATAAAATGCCGCCATGTAGAACATCTGGGCAGACTTGATGAGTATTAACTGACTACATATAGACTCTCTCTCTCTATCTCTCACTACTTCCCTCTTTTCCTCTATTTCTCTCCTCTCCTCTGATTCTCTTTTGGTTCAGCATTATAATCTTTTTCAGAAAGCTAGAGAAACTATTTATATAATTTCAATCTAGCCTTAGACCACACGAGCCTAAAGCTCAAAAAAAATTCTGCATTCTGTTAGGTATTTTTATTAGTTGGCAATTTATTGGCAATCGTGTAAAAATTCAAAAAAATAGGTTCAAGAAGATTACGTATTGCAGAAGAAGATTCAGAATCAGATTTGGAGAGATAAGGATAAGGCCTTAGTCAAAGGAAGATAATGCATTAGTTATTTGAATTTAAATGAGATTTTAAAAAGAGATAAGGATATATGGTTTTGATATTTGCAGTTCATCCAACTTGTGGGAATTGATGTTGGCATTAATTTGGATTTGTTGAATTTGATGTACAATCCGAATTTAAAATTGAAAAGTGTTATTGAAGATCATATGGAAGATGGAGTCAATGGAGTTACATGTCTTACAAATGAATGTGCAATCCATTTGATATTTGAAGTTCAAAAGCAAGTGCTTTATATATATATATATATATATATATTTGTGCGTGGATGTTTTTGATGGGCATTTACGTGGAGATAATGAAGTTGTTCAAAATTGGAGATTTGAAAGTTTGCTGCATTATTTGAATTGGAGATTGAGAAGATAATGTGAAGATATTTTGGAGCCCATCTAGGAGAGAGAATCATGAAGATAATAGAGATCTTATCGAGAGTGGATTTGAATGAGATTCTCGTGACTTTATTTAAAGGCTTTGTTTCAGAGTATATGAGTATGGACTTAATTGAATATCTCCAGAGGAAAAATCTGTGAATTTGAGAGCTTATTATTGAGAAAATATTCAGAGAAATGTCTGTGAGTTTTTGTGAGCCTAGTGCGTTATTGAGATCGTCATTCGGGAGAGGGATTTGTTACTTTCGGGAGGAAGCTCTGTCGGACGAAGGGAGTTCGCCGTGCAGTTTAGAAGACGTGTGGTGCACGCTAAACAATCACAGTGGAGATTTGTCACAGCGGCGTCATTGTCTAGGAGGGAGTCCTTGAGTGAATAAGTCCGTCCGGTGTTTGTAATTTCTGGAACATAGTGAAACTGTTTACTATATGGGCGTGACCCCACAGAGTAGGTGTGCGCACCGAATTACGATATCATATTATGTGTTCATTTATTTTCTGTAATATTGGTTTTCCCACGTTGTTTAATTTAATCGGTAGAGTAAACTGAGTAATTAGTGTCCCAGACAGTATTCCAACGTCATTTGGGACATCAGGCGTAACATTAAGATCTAACACATTCCATTCTCATCCAAATTGAAAAACAAAAGACAACTTCTAAAGTTATTCTCCCTCTCTTTTTTACATGCTTTGTTTGTTTGTTTTGTTTTTGTTTTTGTTTTTTTTTTTTTGGTATGTGATTGTGAAGCTTTAGAGCCACAGAAGAATCTCTCTACAAGCTTACTTTTTCTTGAATCAATAAATTTCTGTTTCTTTTGTAACTGATTTGGAAATTCTTACCTAATTGTTTCCTTGTATTGGCCGGCATCGTCGAGCATGATCAATTTGGGTGGTGAATTGAAAAGGTATTGTACTTTAACTGAAGGGAACCGATCCTTCTCTTCTTCAAGGAAACCAACAATTTCAGGATAGAAAACCAGTATCCTCATGCAGACCTCCAATATGGCACCAGAATAGGTAATCTGAAGTACAAAATAGTTTTTCCTTAGGCAATTCTTTCTTTCTTTCCTTCTTGAAATAAAGTATAAGATAAAATAATCCCATACAAAATATGAGAAAAACAAAAAAGTGATAGTAATATCATATTCAAAATGTTAGTCTCAAGAACAACCAGATTTAGAACTAAAGCATGTTATCAACTTCCAAATGGTTATGTGATAAGTCATGCATACCTTGCTTGTAGAATCATCAGAATCTTCTGCGCAACACTTTAAACAGTCTGATACCAATTCTGCAACAAAAACTCGGAGCTTTTAGCACTCTTTCAGTCATGCTACAAGTAAAGGGTACAAGTCTCATGAAACTTTACATCGATGGGCCAATTTGACTCTGATGAACAAGTCAAAACATCAAGACACTAGCCATTCATTATATCATTAAGAGAATGAATAGTCCTGCAAACTTAAGGAAATCATATGATTTCGTAGCATCTTAAATCGAAGTTTCATTTTTCCACTAAGTTGAAACAAAGCCACCCTCTTTATGGTGACAACATAACTAGTAAAGTGGTTTCTGGAGGAAAATTTGGTCTTTCACCCTTTCTTGGTCAATTAGTCCCTGAATTTTAATATTCCTTTTAGCAGTTTCTAGAGGAGCCATAAGATTGACAATGAATTAGTAAAATTTCGTGAAGACAATCACATGAACTTCGCGTCATGCCTTAAAAGTTCAAAGAAACCGTCGCAATACTACTTTTCCTCCATCTTTACCTTTATACGGATGTAATGTTTATCCCACAATAAGCGCAACCTTCAAACATCATAACAATTTTAAAACTTGTTAATACTTACTAACTTGGCATGGCCTTATTCCGTATTGGTGTTTCCCTTTAATTTTAATTCAATGCTTTTTAAGTGTTTTATGGGTCACTGGTACCCTAAATTTTAATATTATTTTCAGTTTATCTCTTATATTTTAAAACTCTTATTTTAACCGTTCAATTTTAAAATGTTCCACTTAATTTTTTATGTTGAAATTTCTATTAAAAAAAACTGGTCAAGGATGAATATTCTAATCATGAGTTGGTGAATTTTGAAAGAGATAAATGTTTGCTTGCTCTTCAAAATTCCAATCCTGTAAATACATGAGTGACGTTAGTAATTTCAATATTACTTCTTAACTTCAGTGGGAAATGGTAGGAATATCTGTAGAATTATTTTACAATGAAATATATAGATGAAATCATAGGATTTCATAAAAATAATAATAATAAATAACGCTGTTAACAGGTAAAGGAAAAAAGATTTAAAAAAAAAAACCATCAATACTATATTGAAAAGGAAAACACAAATAAAAATGTTTCATATTCAATCGTACTCGAACTATCTAATGGATACAATCATACATTTCATTCAATAAAGATGCAATATTTCTAGAAACGAAAACAAGAAAAAGAAAGCCTAAAAATACATCTAGAGGTTTCATTGTAGAACAATCACACAAATATTCCAATCATCTACCACAGAAATCAATAAAGAACTGGTCCCTTACAGTATCATAAGAAGCAATATTGGCACTACTAGTTTCACCCATGTCTTTATAAGATATGGAAGCCTGATCATGAGCAAGCAAAGATTCAGTCTCTTCAAATTTCACCAAGTACTCATGATTAGCCCATGGATGCTTTTCCATTCTTCTCAGTCCTTCCAATTCCATTGCCACTTCTTTCATTGTAGGCCTCTCTTCTCCGTTCACATTCAAACACCTCCTTGCAAGCCTTGCAACTTCCTCCACTTGCTCTTTATTTCCAAAATCCTCTTTCACAATACCACTCTCAACTATCTCAGACAACTCATCCCTTCCCATTAAAGACAGAAAATGCATAGCTAAACTCCTCTCCGCTTCTGGTCTCTCGAAACATATCGCTTTCTTTCCTGTTAATAGCTCCACTAGAACGACTCCAAAGCTGTAAACATCGCTTTTTTCCGTCAGTTGGTTGGTGAGCAAGTACTCGGGGTCTAAATATCCGAGAGTACCTTGCACCATTGTTGCCAACTCAATTTGGTCCTGAGGAACCAACCTAGAAGCTCCAAAATCGGAGACTTTTGCAGTGTAGTTGTCTACAAGTATATTTGAAGGCTTCACATCTCTGTGAATGATTGGCGTTGAGGCTGCCGAGTGGAGATATGACAAAACCTCCGCAGTTTCTGCAGCTATTCTTAGACGAATTTCCCAAACTAATTTACATGATTTTTCCTTATCATGTATGTGGTCTGAGAGTGTACCATTAGGGACAAATTCATAGACAAGTGAAGGAACTTGAGTTTCCAAACAACATCCCAAGAGTTTGACAACATTCCTGTGGTTAATTTGGGAGAGAACAACTACCTCGTTTATGAACTGTTCGATTTGATTTTGGTCCATAAGCTTGGACTTCTTGATGGCAACAATTCTATTATCTGGCAAAATGCCTTTGTAGACAGTTCCAAAACCTCCTTGGCCAATAATTCTTGAGTCATCGTATTTTAGGGTCGCATTTAGCAGCTCTTCTTCAGTGAATATTTTCGCCGTCTCATTAGAGTTGTATTGATCTCGATCTCCAGAGAGTTTCTGTCGTAAAATTAAGCCACCATTCTGACGAAAGAACTTCTCTTTGAGTTGGATTAGCTTCCTCTTCTTTAAAACCAAATACAGCCAAGGGACACAGATGAATAAGGCAATGACGCCTATTGCAGCACCTGTACATTTATAAGTGGTTATTAAATTGATTTCATCTCAACAGTTTTCAACTGCAATATCCCTATAAAATCCTTCTCTAGAAAGTAGAAAGCCCCATCGGATTGAAATTTTAAAGTTCTAAGCAAAAACTACTTGCTTGCAGTAATTGTTTAATTCAAGCTCGATATGGTAAACCATTAATCACATCAATATTTTATTATAATTATAAAAAGAAGATAAACAAAATATGTTATCATAATAAAAAAAAGATAAACAAATTTAATGGAATTAAATGAAAATCTGGTAGTGTAGAGTCGCGAATATTAGTATCAATGTGGTAGTTATTTATTACAAAATTCTTCTTCTCTATATTTGTGACCGAAAAATAAATTATCATAGTTAGATAGAAGTACTAGCGTGACTGTAAGTGGTAACACTAATTGACCCCAAGTGACAAATATTTTAATTGCTGCATAAATAATCTTATATAATCCATTTGGGTTATCCTCTCAAAGCAAATGTTTATACACATTTTATATGTGCATGTACATGTATATCCAATAATATGTCAAGGCAAGATAGATGTGGTACATCACATGTGTATATTGATCTACACTACATACCAATAACAATCTTATAAAACAGACTATAAGATTGGCGGTGCCGATCCTTGCAAGTAAAACTCCCTGGGGTGTTATCACAGATCTGATCCTTGGTACAATTGTGGACGCCCGAGTTACATTCATCAATATCTGCAAACCACTGAAATAATTATACATATATGTACAAGATATATATAAATCATTAGTGCAATATTATAAACATCACCAAGTTGGTACTAGTTTTCATTTTAGGTGTCGTTTTACAAACCGTATACTTAATTTTTAAATACTTTACATATTAGTAAATGCAGAGGCCGTTAGTTAATCAATCGATTTCAAAAGTTTCGGCAGTTAAGACGTAGATCAAACTATTTATATTGTAACAATATATAGTTAAGAGTATAACTCTTATCGTTCAATAAAATAACACCTGTTTGGCAACCAGCAGGGAGGTAAGCGTTTCCCCGGTAGCCCTCCTTGCATTTGCAGTAGTACTGCAGCCCGTCGGGCGTGAGCTCGATGATGGTGTTATCTCTGCCGCACTTAGTCTTATTATCTATCGCCCAATCAACCACCACCGGCATTTCGGTGTCGGAGAAATTCCAAAGGAAACTGCGGGAGAAATTGAACTTGGTGCGTTCGACTACAAAGGCGTAAGTGCAGGGGTTAAATTTTTTGACGTAGGTATAGTTTTCAAAGCTCCGCGCCAATATCGTGGCATTCTTGAGCCCTTTGGGTATGTCTACCTGACAACACCCGATCCCGGAGCATGATCCATCGTCAGGCACGTCGTTCTTGTCCTCACAAATTGACATGCACCCCATGGAAAAGGAACTGTTCTCTTTGTGAATACCCGTGAGGTAGGCGTAGGAGTCGCAGCCGAGGACGACGAACTTGTTTTTGGAACTGGAGATTGAGAGCGAGCGAAACTTGAGCCAGGGTTCGTTCCACCACATTTGTCCATCGGACTCGTTTAAGCAGTCTTTGGCGACGTACCGCATGATGGTCATCTCGTGACGGTCGGTGGATACGTTGGTGACTCTTATATTTTCACCGTATATAGGGGTCGACTTGCTGCAATTGATGAAGAAATTGTCATTGAGGAAACAGTTTTCCGACATGCCGAACGGGTACGGGATTTCGACGTCTCCGCATCGGTCGGAGCAGCCTTGCAAGGCTGCTGCTGATGATGATGATGATGATGATGATAGAATCGAGTGAGTCGTGATAAGCAGGACAAGTAGACCTACTTGCAAGATAAGCAGCGCTCCATGGAAGTTGAGAGCCACCATTTTTGGACTAAGTATAACTTTGGTGAGCAGCTAATTAATTAAGAATACTGGAAGATTAGTGAAGTACCTCAATCTATATACTAATAATCGGTGGACATAGGCAAATGGAAGACTCATTCAATATACACGAGACTAAGTCATCATTGCTTCTTTTTCATTGAAGTACTCCTTGGGTTTTTTTGTTTTTGTTTTTGTTTTTGTTTTTGTTTTTAGGTTGAGATTTCGTAAGTTGAATATACGTCAGAAAATATTTTTATATTTAATATTTTAAAAAAATTTAAACTTATTTATATAAAAAAGTTAAAAGTGCTTCTTATTGTAAAAAATAATGTAATAAAATGATATGAATGAGATATTTAATTTATTATTTAAAAATGAAAGGTTAAAAATGTAAATAAAAAACTTTTTATAAATACTTTTTTCATAAATATTAATGAGATACTTATTCTAAAAGTGTTTAAAAAATTAAAAACACTTTAAAATTGACCATTTAAATAGATTTAAAAGTGATTTTTTGACTAAATAAATTAAAAATAATTTTTTTTAAGTCAATCTAAGTAGACCTTTTGCCGTGAAGTGTAATAGGGAGATAATAATCTGTTAAATTATTTACCTTCAAAGAATAAATTTCAATACTCAATAAGTTAATATTTAGCCTTAAAAATTTTTAATAGATCAATATTAAGACCTAAAAATTTTTAA